AAATTTCCAATACACTGCCAATTATGAAAACACGATTTGGTGTTTTCTCTGGTTTCCTTTGTTAAAATGTCTCTATACCACTCACCTTGGAGGCTCATTTAGTCTTCATGGTTATTCTGACCTACCATTGTAACCCACAAGGGAAAGAGGCTCAACTGAGGATGGGTGTTCTACATAATCCTATCTATTCTCAGTGAAACTTATCAGTAGAGGTTACACATTGATCCCTGAAGCAGCAGAAAATATCAACTCAAAGACGCTTGAGTGTAAGTCATGCAATCCTATCATCTAAAGTGAGTAAACTTTCGACACTGGTGCCAATCGCAGTAACTAAGTAACTTGGCAATCTGAGCTGCAGCAGTTTACTTCAGTCCAGACAACAACGTTATTCTTTCTGTTGCCCATATCAAATCGTCTCTGCGGCATTCAGCTCCCGATAGAAGGACTAAACATCAAAAAGTGTCCTGACTGGGTCAATTATGCTGGTAGTCCTAAGAGGACAGACGATGTGGAGGCCAAATGGTCTGCCAATCACTCTCACTGCAGAAGTTTCAGAGAACCAGCTCCTCAGTCAATGCAGTTAGAACATTAAAAGAACAGTCAATAGGGTTCTTAACAGGTACCACTCATGTTTCAAAATACTATGTTTTCATACTATGAAAGACCCTAAGGGCTTGACTTGTGACACAACCTGTTCTTTAATTTCATGAGCTCTGTAGATTGAGCCTTAGTCCATCTGAAACTATGAACAACCTATGACGCAAATGGGAGCTTTGACAAGACCAGCACAAAACAACTGCTAAGAAGCACCAAAGCATATCATTTTTATTTTAAAATGGAAATACATGCCAACTTGAGTCAATAAGAAATTGAAGACAAATAAGCCATAGACACTTTCTCACTATCTGTGACCATAAACCCTTACTTAGGATCTCAAGGGGCGATACTATTAAACACACCCACAGCATGATTCACTTCTCACATTTCACACTACTCACTCGTCTGGGTGTCTTCCTATTCAATGACAGAGCAACACTGACACATTTTCCATGGCACTCTGCTTCTACAAATTCAATTTTTCCCCCCCCAAAAGAATTTATAAACTTCCTATTTGGGATCCAGCAATCTGACTTTGTCGTACACAATTCAGCCTTCCAAAATCTGCAATCCAAATTGCTGAAGAGAGAAGCCGTCACTCTGAGACACAGAGTTTAAGCATCTTGAAATAATAATCCAAATCTCAACATGTCGCACGCTGCAGTATGCGGAAAAGCCGGAGTAGCTCGGTTAAAGAATGTAATTTTTTTCCGATTTCAGAGAACAACCCTCTGCCTTTGATCAGGCTCAGCACACAACCACCACCAATACTTAAGGACAGAGGTCAATTCAAACCAGGCTAGTGAAAACTCAAGTCCACTTTTAAACAGAACACAATCTAATAATCTAACGCCTAACCCTAGACCAGACTAATATTATTATGCGTTCAAAAGCAGTCTTAAACTTAGTAAAGTCACCATTTTAATCTGAATTAACAATCACCAAACTCTGCACTGCAGAACATGTATTTATTGAAGAACTATATATTGGTGGTCTATATCTAAAACAGTTACCAAACTATAATTTGATACATCGACTGAATGTGTTGGTATTTTAAATTAATCTACAGGGATAACAAGCACTTAACTACCACTGGCTGGAACATCAGTATTCAAAAAACACAGAACCACTTACAAAAATGTAAATGTTAGGAAAAGCGAAAATAACCTTTTACCTCATCCACTTTGGATAGTGTTAATACTAAGGTTTTGCCGTAATATGTATACTTGTACAGATATTTTTACATAATCTGAATGAAATAAAAGCACTAAAAATGGTTGTCCAAGAGACACAGTAGGCTCTGTGCAGAAGAAATGTGGGTGTCATTGGTTGCACTTTAAGCCGACTTGTTGGGATCCTTTTTAGGAAATAACTGGATAAAAATCCTCAAATTAGTTATTAGCATTTAAAAGAGCTTGATTAAGCCGAAATGGTCTAAAACTTGTTTGGATCAAGAAAAATAAAGGGATCTAGCTGCAAACGAATAATTTGTCAGCAACACTCGATATAGGGGGGTTCCATGTGTGTCTTCAGAATTTGGTGTGTAAAAACTCAAAGCAAACCCCCTACACCAGCAGCAATCAGAGCTGCATCATGCTCAGCCCCAGCAGGTAAACCCTCCTCACGACAGTGTGGGCTTGGGGCAGTGACCAGGCACGCCCCCACCAAGGGCATCAAGGTCTTATAGTGCTTAGAGACTTAGAGACACTGTCCAGCTGCAGAACGTGCCAGGACATAACGCGTATCCCAGGGGCATTCCTAAAGGCACATCTGAACTCACTTATAAGTTTTCTTTCTTCTGACCTACTGAATGCAATCTTGCATGAGCTGTAACCCTCAAACAGTGCCTCTACCAAAATGCCCTTTTATATAGTTAACTAGGCATATTACAGCATATGCAACAAGTAAGAGTAAACCTGCTGTTTCTTGCCGCAGTTACACTACCATCACAGTAACCAGGAACTAGGCTTTAGCAAAACACTCACTCATGTTTTTATACCCCTAATTCTATTATGTGGAAGATACCATTACAACTGACTTAAGAAAGGTCTGTGAACCCTCTGCTAAATTGCTGAAAGGTCTGTATTGCATGAAAGCATTAAACTCCACAACAGATCCTAGGTCTGCAGTGCACTGTTATGGTTGCAGGTATGAAGTGTGATTTATTTCTATAGAAATCATCAATCATAGTTATATATAATAAATGATAGTAGTTCAGGTGGGTAGCTGCGTCAGCATGCGTAGGCTGCAAAGGAACAAATAATAGGTTTATTCCATGCTGAAAAAAAGAAGAAAGAGAACAACGTTTCGTCCGTGGAGCCTTCTTCAGGTGTCAGAAGACCTGAAGGTCTATAATAAATGATGCCTGCCTCCTATGCACTGCTTTCTGAGCCACTGCAGGTTTTCTGATTTTCAGGCTGTTGTATAATACAAAGCATCATGGGGTGCAGAGAAGTCCCGATGCAAGAGACAATGGCAAGTGTAGGCCGGAACAAAATATAAAGCTTGTGCAGTGTATGTACTCTTTGCTTCGCCATACACTTCCAGAGGCACTGAGAACCCCACAGGGGACAAACTGCTGAACAGCAGGTGTCCAAGGCAAAAATAGGCATTCTAGGGTGGAAAAAGACAACTGACTCAGCACTCCGGTCACCTGACACTCCACAGCCGCCATCTCCTTCAGAGACAACGCTGTTTGACCGCACCCAGGTTAAATGACAAAAGAAGCGGGATGCCCCTCTGTTTGGGCTGGTAACCAGGGTGGGCACCCCCACCTCAGCAAGCAGGAAATGCAGGATTCGCTACGAACGGGCGATACCCATTGAAAACAAGCCACAGCGGCCAAAGACAAAAAACCAAAGCAGCAGGTTGTTTTGGCCCAGTGTCTCTCACGGTTACGCACAATCTGTATTTTAAATTAAAAAAACATTTTGCACAGGTTTCTAAAAAGGGGACGTAACCTGCCACGCATTAAAGAGCTACTTTTAGTCCAGCAATGCACACTAACAGCCCATGATCCAGCTGGTTAATGCGAATCTGATTTTCTTTAATCTATAACTTTTTCCCCCAACGTTAAATAATACAAAGAAGCAAACCCATCCAAGGAGACACAGGAACAAAAAAAACACACAAAACAATGGGCTGCCAGAGGTAATTACACATTTGATGAACATCAAGTTAACATGTTTTACATACATCAATTGTGTTTTTGCCTTGTTAGTTTTCAAGTTTCAATGGGGCTTAAGTAGTAATATTGCTTTTCCACCTATTAAGCATTAAAGGAAGGAAGAACATTAGACCATTTTGTTTGATATCTGTGATGCGATATCTGCCCAGTATTACTAAAATATAAAGGAAAATATTCCTTTTCCATACATCTTGCAAACTATAACAGAATATGAAGTTCGATAAATCTAACATTCATATGTAAATGTTTGAAGATAAAGTTTTGCAAATCTATCCAAAACTATATATATATACCGGTAAGGAAATGCTTGGGTGGCGTGGTTATTGAACAAACGGATGAGGTCATGCTGTTACTGCCTACCTCCAGCATGTTACCTGCAGTTAGGGGCGGGTGCCGTTTCGCTATGACGTCTCTCCCCCCCCCACCTCTCAATTACAGCTGGTGGACATCCGGGGATGTCGAAGCAGGGGGTCGTCATAACCCACCACCCACCGATACATGTATGATAGTAACGAGAAAAACTCACTCATCTCCTGCTCCCTCCGCGTTCGTTTCCCTATTCTAAGTTGAGCACCTGCATGGTCGGCATGCCTCGCCTGATTTCTGCTGGTCATCCCAGTTTCTCCTTTTTTTAGGGTTGAATTATTTGAAACTCACATCAATACCAAAAATAACACTTTCCCCTCTGGGTAAACACTACCTGTAGTTAAGACTCCTAACATTCGTCCATCTTTACAACCCGTCAGAATGGAATTCGATATGCTTGTGATTTTTTACCAACCCATGCAACTTTTTGGGTAGACGTTTCTCGCTTACATACATTATTATATACTCCTTGTCTTTCAGGTCAACAACTGGGGTAGACTCCTCACAAAAGTAACGATGCCTACCACTCATGTGCCTAAATTATTTTAAATCCTTTTAATACTCTCTTCGGAAGAGAACGTTTTCAAAGAAATCTATCCCTACTGAGAAAATGAGTGTTTGCAGGTGGATTAGGGCGGTTCTTCGTACAATTCCCCACTCCTTCTGTTAACGGTAACCAGATACTTCTTACGGAGTACCCCGCTACCTGTATGCAGACAACCCTGAGTTTTCGCTTCTTGCTGGATGCCCGCCATATATCCAAGAACAACTTTCGACCCACTGCATCCCGACCCACAAGTTTCACCTGTGGAGGAGGAAACACTGCTGCCGTGGCCCAGCAAAAACTCACCTGGACCTCGACTGCGTTTCCCCGGGGCCAAACCAGTTACTTTCGCTCCTAAAACCTGCGGGTCCTTGCTGAGGCCTTCTCCAGGTTTCTAAAATCCAAAGCCGCGTCCCTGTGCCCAGTCCCACTTCCTCCTCCCAAGTATTCCCTGGTGTTTACCCCCTTCGTTACTTTCCCAAACTGCAGCCTCGATATTTCCTGCTGCCCTCTCCCGGGTTCAGCTGTCTGTTCTCGGTGACTCACCTCGCTCCGCCCCTCCCCAAGAGCCTCTTTCCGGGGTTTTTTTCCTCCTTATGGGAGGGGACATCACTTATTCATGAAGTTTCGGGGACTCCCTACAATTTCTAGGCAGCGATCCACAATTTGAAGTGAAAACCTCCCTCCAATACCGAAAATTGTATTGCACAGTGGCGGTATCGTAGCCTATGAGGTTTAGCCGAGTCGCGATTATTGCTAGTTGAAAACTTTTATTCCGTTGAACGCTCAGATCCCCCCGAAAGAATAGAAAAAAAATCTAATTTGCCTGCTGGTTTTGAACTCCCACATTAAGGTACCGGATTCAAAATGTAAAGTTATTCAAAATTGTACTACGTTTCGACGTGTTTTGCTTTTCTCGTTTTTTCGTAAGGGACAACAAGGGACAGAAGGCTGATACGTATTTTACAAGATTGCAGTTGTAAGTAAAACAAATGTAAAGTCTTTCAAAAACAGTAAAAGTGATTTTTAATTGGCGTTGCCCATTGTCGGTGTTTCAGCAGCATGCTTACATAAGGTTTCGTGGTTTAAGATCGTATTCGACTGTTGAGGAAACTCTTTTGTTTACTATAACCACTATTCTCAGAAAAGATGAATCAGCGATCACCTTGATCTCGTTTGACCCTTGTTGGGAGATTATGTATATCCATCTTGCTACGTACTATAATACAACGAGCTGCACACTGCTTCAGCTCCAATCTGTCTCCTCAGAACCTCTTAACATTTTACTCACAAACTAAATAATTATTTTTTGGACTCCAAAGGTACCATATAAACTCCGGTGAGATTTCTTCACAATGACAAATGCACACTGTTATAGGGATGTTTGAATACCAGGGAGCTGGAATTAGGTTTAGTTTAATAAAAGTTTTAAATATTGCTAGTTTAACACCTCATCAATTATTACATTTGCTTTTCATTTATAACCACAAAAAACTAGGACGTGAAATCAGCCATCTTTCTGAGAAGGAATATATGTTAGGATAATACACTGACCTACAGTACGTCAACATCAAAGTCAATATATTGTCACTACAAAAGCAGTAGTAAAATGTAAGAACAAATACAAAATAAGACAGATGACTACTGTTATTACACGTGGGAGTTGTGTCATGCAGTCTTTTGAATATTTTGAATTTAGCTAAGGATTAACACTCAAGCTTTACACTCAAGTTAAAGCTTTTAAAACAAATGATTAAATCAATGATAACTCGGAAAACAATTGTGGCTGGCTCAGAAACAAGGATTAGTCTGCGAACTAAAGAGATTGTTGTTCAGCAATCCAGACTTGTGGTGACGGCAGTACAGAAAGTATTTGCATATAAAACAGCAATTTTAGTTTTTCAAAGTCACTCCACCACCTTTCATGTTTGTTCTCTGGTCTAGTTCACGAAGTGTGTGTGCAGCACTGGCTGGGAAGGGAATTAATTATTCCCAAATCTCAAGTGATCCTTTACATGACACCGAACAAGGGTGGGACAAATTCAACACATCACTGTCACATTGTGCTCACAGGAAGCAATGCAAAATAGTATTAATGGAATGCAAATGTCAAACGGACAAAGTGTACATGCCAAAGCATCTACCCTGACAGTAAACAACATGTTAGAGATGGCAATCTAAGATTATTTATGAACCGCACCACCATACCACGTAGGACTAGGGGCATGAGGCCTGTCAATGTAGCAGAACAGTATTCTCTCCTGATGTCTTGAATGGTTCGTCAGTGGGAGAGTGTCCCTAAAGATGGACACATCAGACCTCATCAAGACACCTTTGACCTTTTAGAGGGGTCTTAATGAAAAGAAGGATGTTTCAAGCCTGTTAGCTTTATTTTAGTACTGTACATCTATGGACCACCTGTATTTGAATCATATTTAATACATTGTTTGCCACTGCACTGGGAGTTTGTATCTGTGCTAATAAAAAGAGATCTATTGTCCGTTTTCATGTTCACAATTACTAGAGAAAAAATAATATTGTGCCACAGGTAATGGCATTTCAGTGAAGGCAAAAAAGAAATGGTTCCATAATAAAACAAATGCTGATTTATTGCTTTGGCAGCCACAGCAGGGCAGGTTGCATTCACAGGCTCAGGACTCGTGCTCCCTCTGATGGTGTGGTAATGTAGAAGGTCGGTGTTCCAGTGTATCGCTCCTGTAGAAACAAACACAAGGCAAACTCAGTTCCTCTCTTCACCTGTTTACAGACAGTTACATGTAAAGACACAGTACATAGTCCCTCCTTCAGTTTTCTATCATTTTATATTTATATTCAGAAAAAACTCCATTTATACTCTTACAGTTACTACAAATCCTGGGTGTTATATGAGAGAAAATGCTGTTTGAAGTCCCAATTGTCTACCCTCACAGCAAATACAGCTATTTCTAAACACTACCACTAGTTTTCCTGGAGGACCAATATGCACAGAGTGTTAACACACAAACCTGTACAAAAAAACTCTAATCAAAATTAGATCATTGCTACGGTTTATCCATCCATTCATCTTCTAGCCACTTTATCCAATTCAGGGCTGCCAGGGAGCCAGAGCAATGGGCACAAGGCAGGATACATCCCAGACAGGATGCCAGTCTATCACAGGGCACACACAGACACAAAGTAGCACACACTCACACTAAGGGCAATTGTACCAGCAGCCAATTAACCTACCAGTTTGTCTCTGGACAGTGGGAGGAAACTGGATCACCTAGGGAAAACCCATGCAAACACGGAGAATATACAAACTCCACACAGATAGCACCCCAGGACTGGAACTGATCCCAAACCCAGAACTCCAGCATTGCAAGGCAGCAATGCTAACCACTGCCCTACTAGTACACTGCCCTCTTATTTGTTATGTGTACTTAATAAAAGACACTACCTATTTCAGTAAGGGAGAAGAATACTCTCGAGGACCAGACAGGTTGTTTGTGAGTAAAATCTGCTCCTCTGTGAGTTCAGTTCCTATTCTGGTTCCTATCTGTGCTGGATCATGTGCCAGACAGCAGGGTGGGTACCTTTAGGTGCTGTATGACTCTGTCCACAGCCGAAGCCTCCAGCAGGGTGACGGTGCACCCCCCGAACCCCCCGCCCGTCATCCTGCTGCCGTACACCCCCTCCACCTCCATCGCCGCGGAAACCAGCTGGTCCAGCTCGGGGCAGCTGACCTCATACTGGTCCCTGGTGAGAACCGCAAAACACCGCGCAATCACTTCAGCTGTTTCTCCATTCGGGCTCAGTGCGAATCAGACTGTAACCCTTCCTCATCCTGGCTCCCCCCTGTTTTGACCTGTGCCACCCAGCTCACCTGAGAGAATTGTGACTCTCTACCATCAGCCTCCCAAACTCGCGGTACTCCCCCTTCCTCAGCGCTGCCGCCGCCTGGGCGGTGCGCTCGATCTCCTCGATCACGTGGCGTGCCCGCCGGTACGTCTCCCCGTCCAGTCGACCCTTGGCACCTGCAGGGTGCACCACCCAGGTCAGAGTTCACGGAGCAACCATAGAGCGGAAGGAGCCCATTCTATTGCCAAATCGGTCAAGGGTCACTGATTCCAGCTCTCCTGGCACTCAAACATCCCTATAACAGTGTGCATTTGTCATTGTGAAGAAATCTCACCGGAGTTTATATGGTACCTTTGGAGTCCAAAAAATAATTATTTCCACATTGTGGAAATCAAAATGTTAATCAAAATAATTTTAACTTCTTAAATTTTGTCTTTGTGTTCTATGTTGTACCGCTAGCTGCTTAAATTGCCCTCCCAGGATGAATCAAGTATAGTATTTTGAACTAAATTGAATTTATGGCCAAAAAACGTCTTGCTTATCATCATTACTGTCCAAGTTCTTTTTTTTTTTCAAAAGTAAAATAACTCTAATCCAGGACAATGTGATGCCTTATGTTGTCAATTTTAATGGGACCTCATTGTCTTTCACGGTACTATTGGATGAATAATCACAATAATCTGTATTAGTCACAGTTACTGCATTTTCTTTAGTTGATTGGGAATTTCTCATATTTAACATATTATTTTTTTGTATTTAGCCAGTAATATGGTGTCTGCAACCCTGATCCACGAGAATCACAGGCTCTCCTGTTGCGGATTTCCATCTACATTTCAGCTGAATTAATTGGCTTTTAATTAAGTGGCTTCTTGCCTTCCTAATGGAGTCACCTTGCTTTGTATTCTTTTCTATAAGTCCTTCTTGGCCAACAGTTTTCTTTTAACCTGCTCTATTTTGCTCCAGTTTACAAAGTACACAAGGTTCTGTTCTGGTATTACTGTACCAGGGACAAGTCAAGGCAGTCTGATCAAAAGCACAGCCGGAGTGTGACGTCACTCTCCTCTCACTCACGCTCCAGGTCTGCCAGTGTGGCCTCCCGCAGACTGCTCTTTCCCAGGCCAGCGGCGGCCTCCTCGCACTGCCGCCTGCGGCTGGGGTACTCGCTGCCCGTCAGAGAGTGGCGCACGTTGGAGTTGGCGACGAGGACAACCAGTTTGGGGTCTGTGAGGGGCACAAGAGTGGCCTCTAGGGACCTGGGGAAGAAATAACAGGGCGACTGAAATACTGAGCTCACGACACACGCAAAAAAAAACAAATAGTGTTACCAAGCCCTGCCCCCACCACACTCAGGTCTCTTTCATGGATCTTGAGCTAAGAAGCACACCCGGGCTGTCCCCTCTCACAGACCTGCAGTCGATTAGGAGCGCATGTCCTTCCCTGCCCAGTACCGAGATGAACTGGTCCATGATGCCACAGGGCATTCCAGCGTGAGTGTGTTCTGCCTTCTGACAGGCCAGCGCCTTTGCAACGTCATCGCCATCATCTGGGGACAGAAGTCACAACATAGCAGACTTCCAGGATCTCTATTTTAAATCCTCACATTTCTAAATATATATATTTTAATGGCCTAATGGACCTGAGCAGTTAGGTCCAGTTAAATATCAACTGGAAATGCTTAGCGACATTAACATCAAGAGAGTTACAAACCCATAAGCAGTACATCATTAACCTTGTGTCCCATTTCTTCTGAAAGAAGCAAAGCTGAGGCTTAAATGGTAAAAACCCTCAGTCCAAGAGCAGGCTGAGCAGCATGATCCAGATGTTAAGAATGGCTACCAAGCACCACACATGTGCGCATTTCAGTGTTGGATGATTTGGATCCTATATGTAAAGCATTTGGGGATAATTTAAATTGGATGAACAGTGTTATGTATGCGCAAGGAATTACTATGCACAACTAATTTCATAATAAATTGGGTGGAGATGTGAGTCAATCCTTACCCAGCTGAATTAAAGGAGAGCTTTGGGAATGGTGGATTATACAAACCCATATGGATAAAGTTGAAATTAGTCAGGAAACTGAGGTAGCACCTTTCCTCCTCGAAAAAATGCCATAGGGTCTTTAATCAAGCATCTCAGAGAGCACGGTGTTCGCCTGTCACCCTACTGGTGCACTGGTTGGAAATTCTGGTCGAGGGGGAAGAGCACCACCTTCTGGTCCACCAACACTACTTGCAGGACCTGGTTTTCCGTAAAGGTCTTCCATCCCAATATTAACCAGACCCAGCCTTGCCTAGCTTCTGGGATCAGGTTATAAGACACTGCTACTCCTAACCAGCACATTGAAATATGTGCAGTTGAAAGTCTCATTGTAAGAATGAATCCCTCCACCACTCAGCATCAATGCAAAGATAACCTGTACCCTGCTGTGCCCCTTTTGCATTTATGTATGGATAAACAGAAATTTAAAATGCATTATATATATATAATAGAACAGATCCTTTCATTTGGTCATGCTTGACTGTCACATGAAGCATCTTTTATCCATGCACCCATCTTCTAGCTACATCTTCCAACAGAGCCTATCCTGGCAAGCAACAAGCACAAGGCAGAGTAGACCCTGGACAGGGTGCCAGTCCATCAAAAGAGGACACACAGACACACTCACACCAGGGTTGTTTTCACCAAAACACAGTTAACCTGCCTGTGTGTTTTTGGACAGTGGGAGGAAAACGGAGCACATGGAGAAAACCTACACAAACGGGGGAGAACATACAAACTCCACACACATAGCACCCCGGGTCTGTAATAAGCCCAGGTAGCGATGATAATCACAGTGCCTCCATGCCACCTAAACATGCCTTATCTGAGTTGCCAATACCCCTACCTGGGCAGAGCTGCTGGAGGAATGTATAAACAGCGACTTCCAAAGAGGCTGAACTGGAAAGTCCACCCCCCAGTGGCACACTGCTGGCTATCACAGCTCTCAATCCACACAGGGGCCCAGCTGGAGAAAGAAAGAGATGTTGTAATGCCATCCTGACTCTGCTGTAATACAGTCAGGTGCCCTGCTTAATGTGAGAATGGCTCCCTCTTCTGGATGGCTGTAAAGTTAACATTCAATAACATTTGGTGGTTATTTAACCTGACACTGTCTGTTTCTATTAGATTTTATAGGCTATGTATTTATAACCAATCCTGTCTGCAAATACCTGTTAATTATGAACAGAAAGAGCTATACAGATCAAGAGATGCTTTGCAAAACAATAATAAGTTGTTGTCTGCTTTCGCGGGAATTTGTCTCGCATCTAAGCAGCTATGTTTCACACAGACTTACAAACTGTACATATAAACATTACATTAAAAATAAATATAAATGATATTAACCCATACACAGTCATTAAACTCCACTCCTGCAGGAATCCACAGAAGTTACCAGAATCTGTAAGCTTAATCCCCCTACAATCACTCTCAGCCCTTATAATTGCACATACAGTAAGCCTTCATTTTTGCACCTAACCACGAACTGCAGTGTAAGGTTAAAGGGTGGAACAAAATGCTCAAATCAGCAGAATGGGAATATGAAGATAAGTACTCAAGTGGAATTATTCAGTGTTTGTGGCCAGGAATGTAAAACCATCTGTGTATTATTGCCACACTACTCTTACTCAGTTTAGAAAAAAATCTAATTGAGAGATAAAATTTCCTAACAACTTGCTCTATGTTTGACTATGATTTCCCTCCAGGAAGTGAATTCCTGCAAATGACATCTTAAAACTTAAGCAGCAGGGAGTGAGTCAGCCATATCTCTTTTGTAAAGCCTGTTACTTTGAAGAATTGGGTCATACATTTGGAAAGCAGTGAGCTTTCACATGTAGAACAACGAGCCAGATCTCAACCTAAAATTAAAAGGAATGGGGGAAATGAACTAGCTCTTTGGCAGAGTTGGTGTTGGAGAAAGAATACAGTGCATCTGACAGTCATACAACTAGGAATTGTTGTTTTGGCAAAGTGATTCATAATAAATATGGATTTAAAATGTTGACTTTTCTGGCTGTTGTGACTAAAGGGGATCGTCTGTGCGCAGTGTGGAAAGGAAGCAAACAACAAATGTTAATACGTCCACTGTCATGCTGCACAAATCTATTTAATACCACAGTGAACAAATATGTAACAGTGTCAAGTTTGTCTGTCAGTGGAAAACAGTGTAGTTTGTCTGCAGTTGTTCACTTGCTCATCGCAGACTGCAGAACCACTGGGGTCTGTGTTACTTCTCCATCTGCTTTAAGGGTGAACCAGATTATCAAGCAGCTTTATCATAAGATCTCCGAACATGCATATTTTGTTTCTCAATCTACACAAAAAGCTTTCATTTTCATTTTCAAAACAAAAGGGCTCCTATTCCCTGCAACCAACTGCAGCTCTTCCAAAGAAAGTCTTTTGTGTGTTTGGATTCTTGGTGACTTCCTTATCCATTCAGCTAGCCAGTCATTCATGTCTGAGTGAATTTATGCGTGCCTCAGAATATCTGGCCACATCTACTGAACTATACTGTCATTCACGACTCAGATGTGCGTGTGAGTCTGTGTGCACGCAGAAATCACTCTATCCATGCTGTATTTGAGAAAATGTCCACACAAGGGTAGTCACTCCCGAGAACCTGTGAGCCTCCAACATCTTCTCATCAACGTGAACTCACCACAAGGTCTGTGGTAGGTCATTTTTCATTTTGGCACAGCAGAGAATAGGAAATAAAAATAAGAGTCAGTGCAAATCAATGGGACGTCACAAACATGAGTGTGCTGAGCTGTACTGAGCTGCAAATGATAGCCTTTTACCTCTGTAGTGCTGGAAGACTCCCTTGACATAGTTGGCCCATTTGGGCTGTCCAGGGGTCAGGGCATTAGAACTAGATAAATCAAAGTCCACCCGCTGCGGGTCATCGGCCCCCTCAGCTACCGTCACTATGGAAACGCTGCGGTCAGAGGTCTGACTACCCACCATCACGGTTACCAGGGGCAAAGCCTGCAGAAACACACAGAAAACACCATAGTGCTGAGAATCACATTATTGCACATTACTGCTTTCAGATATATCAACAGCTCCTAACCCAGCCTCTTCTGATTCTCACAAGTCATATTTTATTTCTGTATCCGTTGTTCCATGATTATAGTGTCCATATATTACTATAGTAGTTCAGGTGGGTAGCTGCGTCAGCATATATAGTCTGTAAAGGAACAAGTAATAGGTTTATTCAATGCTGAAAAGAGAAGAGAGAAAACACAACGTTTCGGCTGTGAAGCCTTCTTCAGGTGACAGCTGAAACGTTGTGTTTTCTCTCTTCTCTTTTCAGCATATATTACTATAAACATTTAAAATTGAGACTGGGAGGCATTTACAGTACCTCCCATATTGTCAAAGCAGATACTCTGGCTTCTTTCAAGAAACAACTGGATGAGAAACTAGGAAAAATTAGCTACTAACTACCAAATGGGGTTAAATTCTTATGTTACCACAATAATTTAATTACACCCAGAGATAATACATGGCATACAAGACGCTATCACTGCACTGGCCCTTATAGCCCAATCCAGAATTATTTAAACCTCATCTAAGAGTAAAGTCAGATAATTCTTTCAGTTTCAGGAAGTTAAGTTTCTCAGCAACTATCAAATTATTCTGTTCTTTAGTATTTAAAGACCAGCCAAAATAAAGCCGCCTGTTTTCATCACTTTAATGAAGACTCCGGCAAATTCTCCTGCGCGCTAATATTCACATTTTTAGGTATTAGTTTAAAGATCTATAGAATTTTACATAAAAAACAAAATTTAAAGCACGAGATGGTAATATAATGATACATAATATATAATAGAATAATACATTTCAATTCATTTTTTAAGTACAAAGCGGTGTTTCCCCTACCTTAAATATACGATTAAAATTGGTCAAATATCATGTATGCATTACAGAAAGCAGCGGAGACAGTTAAATTGCAAAGAAATGTATTTATTTCGAAGAGTACGTGACATTGTGAATCAAAAAAAGACGTTAAAAAATAAGCCGATGTAGTTATTTTGAAAATAAGTAAAGCATTTTACAAATAGATTCTCATTGACAGTAAACAAGCCGATCCACCTGGCGCTGCTACCTTGAACAGCTCTCAGAGCCGTGATTGGCTAAACCCCCGAACAGCTCGGGCCGCGATTGGGTAAAGAGTGAGAATCGATACTCTGATTGGGTACAGTGCCACAGCGGAAGTTCCGAGAAAATGTAGATACACAGGTGATGGATGTTCTTCTTGGTCCAAATACTGTAGCCCCGGTTAACACTATTTGCTGTATGAGCACGCTGGAAATTCACTAACACATCCATTGGTTTCAAATTACTAATCAATCTAAGAGAACTCGCACTGAGGTCAAAACTGAAAAGCAGAAAAAGAATGTTATGGTGCCATCGGTCATATCGCGATATGAAATAAAATTGCCCTGCCCCATGAAAGGCCCTATATCGTAATATACCAAAAACCTGGCACACCCATGTCGCGACCTGAAACCCGTATATCACGATATGACATACCCCGACGAAATGCCCCTCCCCCATGTCGCGACATGGAGCCCGCATATCTCGATATGACAAACGCACCCGCGGCAATGTCGTGACATGAAGTCCACATATCGCGATGACATACCCCAGCAAAAATACCCCGCCCCATGTCGCGACATGAAGGGCCCTATATCGCGATATACCGAAAACCTGTCATACCCATGTCGCGACATGAAACCCATATATCGCGATATGACATACCCCTGACTAAATGCCCCGCCCCCATGTCGCGACATGGAGCCCGCATATCGTGATATGGCTTACCCCGACGAAATGCCCCGCTCCCATGTCAAGACATGGAGTCCATATGTTGCGATAGGACATACCCTGACTGGATATGCTGACCCCATGTCCTGACACAAACTCCATATATACGTCCTATCTGGGTATATCATATTCTGATATGAGACCTTTGTTGCGACAGCAGTGCCAGAATGGCATGGAAGCAACGCACCAGTCGTGATATACACTGCCGTGATATACATGAGATATACATGGGGTCTCTATCATGACATGCTGTGGAGGTCTTGTCGTGATGGTATCCCACAGTTACGCGTTTTGCAACAGCCTGTCACGGTACGGAAAGAAAAGCAAAACGTGCCTTGGAAAATAAAAACCATAGATCTTATAATCACGGTGATTTTACATACATTACAACCACAGTTTTATGTCATAGATGGTTAACTTGTTGGCATGCGTCATGTCTTAGTATCATTCACATCTATGGAGACTCATATGTTTATGGAAATTGATTGTCTTTAATCTATTAAAATCTTAATCTAGACAAAAACATAGCGCTAGATAGCTCTGACGACAACGATAGCAAAATAGACTACGGTTACGCATGCACCGCCCAACAATATTTACATAATTTTCTTATTGGTCACAACAGATACAGCGAGCCAATAGCAAATCACATAAGATAAAAAAAATCAAACACGTAACATTAAAAAAGCAAATCATGTAACGCAAACAAGGGGAAACAAATCTTAAATTACTTTGGACTGATTGGGTAGGCCTAGCATCAATCCCACCCAGGACCACCCCTGGTTACGCTCCTGATTTATTTTACCTTGCAATTTACATGTCATATCTGTAGTTGTCACAGCGCCCAGGTTCACTACCGTAGAGAAATGTGTCTCTCTTACCATCGGCAGCACAAATCCCTGGTTGTAATCCGTGTGCTCGCCAATGAGATTGACCCTCCCGGGTGCGCATGCTGCCACAGTCGGCTCCTGACCCCCAAACGTCTCTCGGTACACCCGACGAGCTTCGTCCAAGACAGTGGACACTCCTGAAACTTCACCGGCCATCGCTGACTCTACTGCTCCCGGCCACCGACTCCGTGTGTGGGCTCCGTGTCAATCTCTGCCGTGCCGCCGCAGAGCTCGGAGTCTTCAGACTTTAAACTGGGCGTTTTACATGAATCTTTGAAAAGGAGATGTTTCGCTTTATTAATTATAAAACGTGCCCAAGTCTCTAACGACAGCACCTGACTCTTTTGCTTGGTTCCTGGTTTCCAACTTTTCACGCCCACCTCCAGTGAGCCGCAGATTTCATTGGCCGCGGAGGGGAGAGTCACTGTTTAGCAAGGACCTCGCTTTGAGAGGTCTGCTTCAAAAAACTAGCGTCGGCTCTGCGGTACTGTGTACATACCGATAGGGAGAAAAAACAGGCAGATGCTTTATGTCAAAAATTTGCCTTCACATGCGTGGATTTAATTGTTACGCACGGAAAACTCTCGTTGGGTAACTCGCATGTTATCGTTGTAACGTTATGCTACAAATTGACTCCACTTAATACTCTAATACAACGTGTAAACCTTCCCAGTTTTGAGTTTCACCTCGGCGTTTTCTCTCAGTATAAAAGCCGTGAACGGGGGCTACTACCATTTCACTTAAGTTAAAGTTAACTATATGCATTTAACTCTTCTGCCGTTTTGCTCAATTATTTCAGAACATCGCACACATTTAAATCGAGTTCCGTGAAAAGAATTAGTATATTGGCATTAGTGTCTTGAACTGAAATATTTTGTCGCCACTTTAGAAAGACCTGGATGACTGAAAGCGATCAACGGTTTTTCTCGTCGGGGAATTAGCTCAAATGGTAGAGCGCTCGCTTAGCATGCGAGAGGTAGCGGGATCGATGCCCGCATTCTCCAAAGAAACTTTTATTTGTCACTATTCTTATGACCAATTCTTTATTGGACCATTTCCTTTGGTTCACTTGGAGGGTTTTTCGGTAATGTTCTAAGGATATACTGTATTTAACTGGTGAACATTCAAGGCAAAGCTGTTGCTTTTTATTGATATTTCAGCTGGTTAATACACATTTATCTTTACAAATGCGTCAAATACCAAATGTAAAAATACAATTATCGAAACGCACAACAACCTAGTTTTGCATTATGTACACTATTATTGCAATTCCAGCTTCCTTTACGACAGTTCCCTTGAAGACTTGAGAGTCTGTTCAATCTTGGTAGCCTTGGCCAATCAATGCCCGCATTTCTACCAGGAATTATCCAATTACAGGGTCGGTTCTCATTCTTAATAAGTTTCGCCCAATCAAATGTCAGTCTCCTACCGAAAGGCAGGCAGTGATTGGGCGAAAACTATCATGAATTAGACCAGGCATAGTAATTGGACAATGATAAGAATAAAACATTTTGACGAGAAACGGTATAATACTAAACACTTTAATCAAATATACTGTCAATTATTAAGATTTTAAACCCTAAACACTTGAGGAAATGTAATGTTTCGGGAAGAGATTAACGTAAATAAAGGTTTATTTTTAATTGGTAACAGATGTTTCCAGATCTTGGGATGTGGGATGTTAAACCACCACCAATCAGCCAAAAGACAAATCAGCAGTCCCTGAATTCAGTGAAACAGCAGACTTGTTAAAAAATACCACCTACAGATTTAGATTGATCTCTACAACACCTGAGAAGCTGAGTCAATAATCCTGCTAAACTGTTATTTTAAAAATAAATAAAATTAGAGACCTGACGTATTTTAAAGTGGACAAAAAAGGATAGATACTACATTCGCAATTCCTGGCATTTCAAAGTTGAAAAACCACGTAATTGATTAACTAGCTCACGATTGGCTAAACTCCCGGCCTAAAATTTAGTAGGCTGCGATTGGGCGAGACTTATAATGAATGAGACCAGACACGGTAATTGGACCATTTACTTGTCGTAGCAGAGTGGCGCAGCGGAAGCGTGCTGGGCCCATAACCCAGAGGTCGATGGATCGAAACCATCCTCTGCTAAAGTTTTTGTTGCAGTTTTAAATATGGTGAATTTCAATGAAAACAATCACAGGCTTTATCTCTCTTGGATCTGACAAGCAGTTCATTTTAATTTGTGCAAGGGCTGTTTGATGTTTGCATCAAACGTACCGGACACTGCACTAGACTGTTGTCCATTCAAATGTTTCTTGTAGTGTGGTCGTATTGGTGCTGTGGAAAAACGTAATTACTTTTCTCTGCACATCGTTTTATGTTATTTCAAAATATAATGCAAGAAACTTTTAAATAAAAAAATGCCATATTTTACCTGATCACATTAAAAACCAAACAAGGACGAAGTTTTCCACTCACCTGTGTTTCAAGTCCGATTACTGTACTGAAATAAACACCATGCTCCACTAGAGAAACACAAATTACACAATTGTGTGTTTGGGCCGGATGTGGTTGTTTTTGTGGCAGCTGTGTAGCGGCACTTCTCAGTCGCCTTCGATAGCTCAGTTGGTAGAGCGGAGGACTGTAGCGGATATATCAGGCATCCTTAGGTCGCTGGTTCGAATCCGGCTCGAAGGAGGGATTTCTTTTAATAAACGGAAGAATAATCTCTCGAATCTTCCCACGTCAATTTATACCTTACGTTTAAGCTTTTGGAGCTTGATTTCGTACTGTATATAATCGAATCTTTTGAAAGTCATAAAAATTCCTGTCATATATATTGCAAAAGTACTCATGCATACATATGTATGTTACATTATAACCTAAATTATCTTTTATTATTAATGATAATGTTGGACACAGTTTAAAAGCGTGCGATTCTTACTATAAATTGAGCATTAAGTTTTTTTCGCTTCTCACAAATAATTTTCAAAACTTGATATCAAGCATATGCTACGGGGGACATTATCTTCTTACTAGCTAGAAATCTTTGTTATCACACGTATATCTAGGGGATTGTTTCTGTCCACCTCCTTTAATTGGGGATGTTTCTGAATAAACTGAGCACTTTCAGACGTCAAGACACGCTAGTCTAAACACGACCGGTGAAAAATGACGCAAATAAATCAAAGAGACATGCTAACATTCTAAACCACAAACACATCATATTAATTTCTTTACTCTCCGCCATCATCGTTACATCGCTAACGATGTAACATGTTTCCCGCACTCAATGACACATGACGAATTGATTCAACAGTGACACTATGAATTGAACGCAGTTTCCGGAGGCTGAACACTCATGAATGCTTACACGCATGTGACGTTTACATGACCGCGTGGCCTAATGGATAAGGCGTCTGACTTCGGATCAGAAGATTGAGGGTTCGAGTCCCTTCGTGGTCGGTTTTAGCTGCTGATAGCAAATATACAGCATTTGTCTTTTTTTAAAAATAAATTGACTTTAAATCGGGCATTTAATCCCAAAGTGGGTAAAAATACATTCATGCCTTTCTCAGTATAGTGTATACTCAGTATACACAATCATCAGTATCGGGTGACCGCGTGGCCTAATGGATAAGGCGTCTGACTTCGGATCAGAAGATTGAGGGTTCGAGTCCCTTCGTGGTCAGTTTCATCTCTGAACATAGAGATCAAGGTTTTGGTTGTGGCCAAAACAATTATTTTTAAAGTTCTGTTTTCAAATATTCCATTTAAGTCCATCCTGCAAGCCCATGCCATGAAGCTTAGCTCCTTAGCTCATTGTGTCTTCCTATGTTGCATACATACTGCAGTGGTATCCAAACATGGCTGGTTTAGGCTGTTTTAGTCCATGCCGCTAAGTTAACTTTAAATGACATTGAACAGTGCATTCCTTGATGATTTAGTATGTGATATGGCTTGGGTTACAGATTAGATGACATTATGTAGAAAAAACTTCATACAGGCATTGGTGGTTCAGTGGTAGAATTCTCGCCTGCCACGCGGGAGGCCCGGGTTCGATTCCCGGCCAATGCAGGTTTCTTTTACTCGTCCTTGGTACATTCAGACGAGCAAAGTTCATTGTGCCGAAGTTACATACATACAGAAGCGGTGTGCAAAGTTGTCTGGTTCAGACAGTTTCAGTCCATGCCACTAACCTTACTTTAGATCACTTTAAACTGTGCATTCATTGCTAAATTACAGGAAGGCTTGGGTAGCAGATCTGACTGAGTTATTTGGGAGCACTGTTGTGTGGGGAAAAAAATTTCAGTGTGACCCAGGTTCAATGTTCAGCCAATGCAGGTCTCTTTTATACCTCCTTGGTACATTCAGACATGCAAAGTTCATTGAGCCTTCCTATGTTGCAGATGTACAGAAGCAGTGTGTGAACAGGGCTGGTTTAGCAAGTTTCAGTCCAGGCTGTTAAGCTTACTTTGAACAGTGCATTCATTGCTTATTTACAGGAAGGTTTGGATTACAGATGTGGTCAAGTTATTTGGCAAAGTTCTTGTGCATGCTTTGGTTTTTCAGTGGTAGAATTCCCGAGGCCCGGATTAATGCTCTCTCGCTAGAAAGTCCCATAATTCACGAACTTGAAGAGGCTCCTCAAGTTAACGTAGATTTTCAGCTGAACCAGTTGGGTTAATTCTAAGGAAGAATGGCAAGTTCCAAAGTTAAAATTAAACAAGCTATTTTGTATTCTGTCCCTTCAAAAAGAAGTTTGAGTGAGAACGCGAGAGGCGTAGCATCAGGCGATCACGACTACATAAAAAATATCACAGGAATGACCACCAATAATGAGATAGAAAGGCAAAAGATAATTAATATGCCAACTAAAGTTTGTCAGCGAAAAAAATCAAAGGTAGCAGGAATGACAGGCACTACTAATTTGGCAATTTTGGAAACAATACAAAATCTTAGAAAAAGTTTCAATTCTGAGGATAATAAGAATCCTAAATTTACAAGATCAAATGAAACAACACACAACGATGGTGGTTACACTGTCCAAATCTCTTGAATTCATTTCTGCAGAACTGGAAGATCGTGAATTGAAAATCTCAGATCTAGAGAAATTACTTAATCTACTCCCAATAAAAACAGGTTTTAAAAAAATGTGCTCGGAACAGGAGAGATACAAATGCAGATGGGGTCTTCGGCTAAAAGGACTGAATGAGGAAAACCCTGAAAACGACAAGTCAATTCGGTATGTGTGTCTGCAAAGAGCTGGGCATACGGTTTTATGAGGACTTAACTAAAGCAGACAGAGAAGCCAGAGCTGAACTCTGGCCACAGGTGGAGCAGACGAGGAAGAAAGGTGAGAGGGCCTACTTCCGCGACAGCCCTGTGGCTTATATCAATGTTTCAGTAAAAGAATAATGTCAAACAATCTGTTTATTATCGGAAATTAATATAACTGTGGATGTTAAAAAAAGAGCCAGGGACACTTTATTCTACTACCTTGCTATATTAAGTGAAAAGTGTCTTTGTTCTTTATTGTTCAACATTTCTTTGTTCTTCGTTCTAATGGAAACTCAGTTATCGTTAATGCTAAATGCTATCTTTAGTGTTCATGCTATTAAACGTAAAGCCATGTTTCTGTTCTGCAAAGAACAAAAAGCAAATATATTCAATCAATGCAATCAATCCTAGAAATAATAAGCCAATTAAGAATCACATTTCCAACTGAGAAACTAATTAGGAAGTGACTTTGTGTCCTGATGAATGCCTTGAGGTCCACCCAAACATGACTCTCCCCACAAAACAATAGTAAATGATTTTGCTGCCAGCTTAGGAGTTGGCCATATTTGGAGGAAAATGCACCCATGTAGTAAAATATACACTTGTTTTAAACTAAATGCTACACTTAAATCAAGACTTGATTATTGGCTTGTCTCTGATCCTGTGTTTCAATTTGTATCTTGAACAGAAATTTCTGCAGCCCCCCTCACGGACCATGCAGCAATTTCTCTAACTCTGAAAGCAAATAATGGAAACCACTCCAAGAAATATTGGAAATTTAATAACGAGTTGCTAAATAATGATACATTTTCTAAGCATATAAAATCACTAATTGACAATGTTTATAATAAAACGGATGTAGGTACACCTACTGGAAAATGGGAATATTTACATTTTTAAATGAGAGAATTCTCAATAAAATATACCAAACAATTATACCAAACAATTTTAAGACCTTCTAATTAAATACATTAATACATACTGTACTAAACCATGCTTAAATGAATTTGAGAAGTCAAATCTAAGTAAATGTCTCAATGAATTGAATGATATATTAGAAAAGCAAGAGGGGTCTATATGAGATCAAGAGCGAAATGGAAATGGAAAAACACACACTATTTCTTCAAATTAGAACGCGACAGGCTAATAACAAAGAATTGATCACATAATTGGTCTCAAATAATTGATCATAGATGGAGAAAGTGCAGCTGATCATAGACAAATTTCTGTAGAAGTATATACATTATTTATAGAATTATAGAAATCGGAGTTCTCAGAAAAATTACATTTTTATCCTCGGAATTTGTTACGATGTAGGTTAGTAAGCTTCGTAGTTTACGTAAAAAGCATAGTCTCATTGTATATCAAAGGGGAAGAGGGAACGTCATCTTGTGGTTCCATGGTGTAATGGTTAGCACTCTGGACTCTGAATCCAGCGATCCGAGTTCAAATCTCGGTGGAACCTGTGTGCTTTTTATTTTTTACAACATCCTTGTTTCATCTACAGATTGGTGGACATGTGTTTAGATACTATTTTAAAGTTATAAGAGCATGTTTTATGTAAAAGAAACAACTCCATTCAGGTTTCGATATTAACTTTAAATCCATACTTTTAGCAATTATAACGACTTGTTAACATAAATTACACGTTTGATGTAACTTGACTTTCCTAACTAAAACGTGCATTTACATGAGCACTCGCACAAACTTCTGAGATTTCGATTTCTCAAGGGTCACGGGTTAATAAACCCAAGACATAGTGCCGGAAATTGAAAACAACTGCTGTAAAAGTGACGAGAAGTGTCGCACAGAGACCCGTTCAAGATGGCAGCTCCCATACTGAGGTGCTTGTGTGCGCGCCCTGTTCGGTTCACTCTGGGATCGGTTCGAATTCATACTGGTTTCCTCCATAGAAACCTTGGGACTGAGTTTAAGAGCGCATACAGTTTGGATAAGATATATCCCAGTTCTTGCTTCGACTACGGACGCTCAGCAGCAGATTATTCTCGGGTACGTCATATTAAAGTAAGGCAATTCATCGTCATCTAATAAAGTCATAGGGACACTCATGTAATCGGTATGTTTAATATCATTAACTTTGCTTTTTGATGCTTTGTGGCGTTATTTAACATGAGTAACACTAAGCAAATCATTGCACTGAATGACAGTGTTCCAAGGTTTTAGAAAACCTGGGGGTGACTTGGTGTATTGTCTGCAGGAGCACGCTTAACAGCCCTGTGGTGTATTCTGATACAGTTGTACGGTTTAGTGAATGGTTACCACTATTAGCATATATAGTTTTAGCAGGCTCAGAAAATCCATTTATTTTGAGGTAAAGATAGGTATTCTAAATCATTTATTAAAATTGTATTTTCACCTCAGAATTATACGTTACCACCTTATATAAAAATTGTCCTTCAGATCTTTAGAAATGTCACTATATGTTTAATTCATTTTTTACCTTTTTATTTTTAAGGATTGCAGCCTACAGAATTCTACAGACATTCCTCTTGGTATGTGTTGTGTATCTATTGTCACAGCTGCTAGTTTTAACATATCACGAATTATAAAAATAGCTGCACTCCTAAAACATTTTGTTTCTAATAGCAGACTCTGTATTCACATTATATAAAATATCAGTTGTTCTTTTTCTCATAACACAAAAGCTAAGACGTTTTTATTGCAAAATTTTACCTAATTTCATGTAGCCTGCAAGTTCAAGATGAAGATTGTAACATACCAAATTCTGTGTTTGTACTAAATATTTATGTGCATGTTGAAAACGTTGTCTTTTTGGATATGACTTTGTATTATAAATTAAATGTGGTTTTAATGGAAATTCTTGGCTCTGAGGGTTTGAGAGGTTAATCTTTTTATTGATCCCTTTTGATTCATTTGCTATGTACAGCTTTTGAGTAAAACGAAGTCACTGTAAAGTAATGCCCTCTGGTCAACCCAGACAGGATGCGTCTGGGCCTTTTTACATAGACAGATTTTGTTTCTCCTTCAGATCGGCTCACTGTGACGTACAGTCGAAGCAGTGGACCAGGCGGGCAGCATGTGAACAAAGGTAATTGAAAAGCTCTTGATTCATGCAGTGGGATATGGGCCAGAAAAGAGTTTTTATCACATATCCAATAAAGTGTGGGTTCAATAACTTTAGAACTAAAGAAAAAGGTAGACTCTTCACAAGCAGCTTAAACCAGCAGCTTATTCACCTTGCAGCTCACATCTGGTACCACACTGAAGCTAAGCAAGTGTGAGTCAAGGCAGCACCTGGATGGGAGACCTCCTGGGAAAGTTAAGATTGCTGCTGAAGGAGGTGTTAGTGGGTCTTGTGTGGGTGCCACAGTATAGTGATGGGGACATTATACTGTAAAAAGGCAGGTGCCATCCTTTGGATGAGACATAAAACTGAGGTCCTGACTCTCTGTTGTCAATAAAAATTCCAGGATGTTTCTTAAAAAGAAGAGGGGTGTTTACCCAAAATTCCCCTTTTAATAACCATAGCCTCTTAATAATCCCCCTCTATAAATTGTCTTAATCAGTGATAGTGACTTTGGCAGTGGAGTGTCCAGAAAAGGGCTATATATGTGTAAGGATTATTATTATTATAACCAAGGTAAAACACACATAATGTGCTTTTGAAATTAATGAAGATAGAGTTACCAATTAGGATGTGTATAACATTTAAATTCAACTGCACACGCCATAAAAGAAGTTAATAAACAATTCTTTTGTCACAAGAACGGCCACCCTAAAAAAAATAATTCTGATTTAATTCAGTTAACACAAAAGCAGAAATTCGCTTCCATGTCCAAACAGCCGACTGGATACCAGAGGATGTACGACAGAAGATCATTCTAAAGGTAAGTAGCAGTATGCGGTGCACATGAAGTACTTTTTATGAGTTACAGTGCCTGCATGTCTGTGGAATCGGGATCATGTTTCTTCTCTTTTGAAATTTTGAAACATATGTTTTCATCGACATTGTACTGTAGCACCTTCATCTGTATTTTGTGAATCCAAAATTTAATTGCTACATTTTATCTTTATTTTCAAGGAGTCTGCACATTTCAGAATCTTTTTGAAATCTTTGCTAGAAGCCTCTGAGTCTCTTGATGTGTGCCATTCAAGAAAGTTGAAATTTCCAAGAGTCATATTCTCGAAATTATATTCACTGAATTCTTAATGATCAATCTTGATCTTCAAGAGAATGGTATTGGAGAGTTTGTTTTTGCAGGTATGTGACATTTAAAGGGGAACTACAGTCCTAATTTCTCAGACCAATTATTGCATCTTTGTAACAAAATAAATTAAATGACATTCTAGAGACAAAAAACTAATTTTGAATTAAGGAAAAAATTGTGACCTTTGTGAAAGCACTGTAAGTTGCCACGTTGTCACAAACCCCAGTCTCACCAGGAGCAAGAGCAAGAGTTTCCATGAATTGTGACGTGATGCGGCTCTTCTTGCTCACTAGTCACCATAATGACTGATGCTCGATGTACGAACGCATAAGTACAGGTTGTACAGCCGACATTTCACTGCAGAAATGTTCCAACACGATCTGTGTGCAGAGTTAACAAGTAAGTAGTCTTTGTCTGCAAAACCATCTCAAAATCAAAAGCAATATTTCTATTGGATTAAAAGAGATGTATTCACAAGCTTGTTTATAATGTTTACGATGTCATAGGGCCACACATGTCGGCAGAAGTTTTGTTGCCTCGTTCTGAATCACAGCTGTGCATAGCTGGAAATGTCGTATATTATGTGATGTACACTGATGTTTATACAAGTTACTGTGTACATTTTACTTTTATTGTGGTTTGAAATGCACTCATCAATGCTGATTATTTCTAACCGCAAAATATAAAAATAGTATTGCAGTTCCCCTTTAAATTTCCCTTCGGAAAACTTATATACACAAACGATATGGCTTTCTGTTAAATGCCCTTATCTGGCAACTACAGCAACCCTGACATGAGATTTCAGATTAACACAATAATCGAGTTTCATAAATTCAACAAAAAGGGTAAAAGGAAATGTTATGAAAGTGGATTTGTGGATGACTTATTTTTGATGTGTTGAAGAATAAAAATCGAATCAACAAATCCGGGGAGCTCATTGTGACTTCAGAAGCCAGTCGGTATCAGATGCGAAACCTGGCGGATTGTCTGCAAAAGATTGGCGACATTATAGCGGAGGCCAGCCTCAAGCCCAAGGAGCCATCAGAGGAAGACAAGGCTCTTCGAAAAACCAGGTACCCCCCCACAACACACTGGTGTTAATTCTTGTGAGAAATTAATTTGAACAGTGCCAACACCGGCAGAGTAGTGCAGCAGAACTGTCCTGGATCCATGTCCCAGAGGTCCTCTGCTAGAAATGACTTTTACCAAATTAGCTAAATGGGCCAAATTCTCATTTGTAAGCTTTATTATGTTCTTAATTGCTGATTGTTTTATTTTCTACATTTACCAAATATCACTTTGTAAAGTAATGGCAGTTCAAGAATTTTTAACTGGGGAAAACAAAGCTACAGGTTTTTCCATTTGAATCTTCAGCACTTCAACTGGAAATGTATGCTGTTTTTCCACTGTGTACATACATATTAAATACTAATCTTTGACTGTTTTTGCAACATGACAGTTCTGCAAAACATCCCATTAGAAAATTAAGCTCTTATTGTGTGCTAGAAATAAGTTTCAAAGGGGATCAAATGATGTTTATTAAAAGTTTGATCTTAACTGGGACTGAGTTGTGTGACTGAAACGGCACTGAATTTGTTACCTCTCTGGAGAAAGCCAGAAACCTTGAAAACCTGTGCTACATTGCACAGAGGACAAATATCAGATCTACTCCGAATTCAGCATTTGTGGTCAGTAAACAACTTGAAACTTTTGCTTTCCAAAGTTCATATTATAACCTTTGGTTTACAGATTTCTTTTTCCTTGATCAGCTTTATCTCTGATAAAGAGCTGTTCTGCATCAGGTCAGAGCTTAGAAGTAGACGGATTAAATACTTCCTCGGAGCAGATATTGAAATATGTATCAGTGACCATTCTTGAATCCTTTTTTAATCGATCAAGTGAGAAATTGAGAAGTGTTTTCACTGGTACTTGCTGGACCTGTTACTTCCAACGCCACACTATTAACACTAAAAACTGTTTAGATGTTACAGGGTCTTTTGTCTCCAATGCTAAATTGAAAGACAGAAACAGGACTGGTAATATATAACAAAAAGCGGAGTGAACCAGTTACCTCTCAGGAGAGAGTAGTGAAAAGCTGCTCTTTGAGACTGTTGTTTCCTAGAGGTGCTCCAGTTTCCTCCCACAGTCCATATACATACAAGGTTAACTTGTTTGTGGAAAAGTTGGTCTGTTTTGAGTTTAAGCATATCCATGTGTGTGCCTGCACTGCGATGGACTGGAGTCCATCCAGGGTGTATCCTGCCTTCCGTCCATTGCTTGCCTGGACAGGCTCTGGCCCTCCCATGACCATGAATTGGAAGGAGAGGTTAAACGGTGGATGAATGTTTGTGTTTGCTTGCTTCCGGAAAAAAAACAAACAAACTTTGCAACCTGCCCAAAACTGCCATTTTGTGCCATTCTTTTAATTTCATGGTTACTTTCCACAGGTTAGAGAAGATGCAGCAGGACCGGCTGAAGCAGAAGAAGATGCACTCAGATCTGAAACAAAGCAGGCGTGTGGGTTTGGACTGAAAAACCCTGTCCTGAAATGAAGACAGGACCCGACTTGTCCTGTTCTGCATGTGTTTGGCATATTTGGGCGCAAGAGTTTTCATCCCACATTATATTGTCCTGACAACAGATTTGTAAAAATATATCTGCCAAAATAACAATGTAATAAAATCTACTCTGTGTTTGGTATATCACATTATTTCTACATTGACCCCATGTGCAGTTCATTGTGCAGAAGAAGATGGCACTGCATCATTGCACCTAGTTCAGTGCACACAAGTGTAATGCTGTTGTAATAACTGCCCAGTTGTCATCATTTAAGTTAAAGGTAAGTTAAGACATAAGTTAAAGACAATTTAGTTATAGAGCCTTTAAGAGGACACATTAGATAGCAATAGTTGATGCCAATTTTCAGTGTCACAAAAGAACCGTCGTTTGAATGGGCAAAATAGATCCTAAGAAACAACATAGTATTGGATTAGCCTTGTAAAAACAGATGTTCAGATGCTTGTACAACACCAGGCAAATGGATTCAAGCTTGTATTGGGCCCTATTCATTGGGGGAAGACTTTTAAGTAATTTAGAATTTTTGAAGTCTTTTACTGAAGATAAAAAGTGATTTTTGATTGTTATTATAACAACGGCACCTGTAAATGAATGGGAGGTGGTTAGAAAGCCTGGTCTTGGAACAGACTGCTGTGAAGAAACATTTCTGTTCTGTTCCAAGACCAAGTTTTCAATAGATCCTATTTCTGATTTAGTTTTGTCTCCTTAATGTCCTTTATAAATGCAATAATTTCTTGTATTGTGATTATAATCGAACAGAATATTTCTATAGATTGCTGAACTAGTTAAAAATGAAGCCCTGATTTATTATATAACCAGAAGAATGCTGTCCATAAACCAAAACGATTGGGAGGCAACGCTTTAGAACGGGATTGCATTCATTATTATAATAACCGAACAGTGGAAATCGACCCGTGAGTAGAACTTGAACTTTATTGGCATGTGTAACCGGTACATGTTCTTACAGAAAGTCTCGATTGTTAAAAACAAAGTGTAAAAACACAGAGTGCAGACAGTGCATCAAGACAATATAAAAACAGTAGACAATGTACAAGTAAAGAAGTTAACAGTTGGAATGTAAACAATGCCGACGTGTAAGAACAATGACTGGAGATGTGCAATAAATAAAATTATAATGATGTAGATGGTGTAGGTGTGGTCCGAGGGACATAACTAAATGTGTTCGCATATCGCAGTACTTGTAGATAGACGCTATTGAAGAATCTGGTATTAAGTGTCCGTATGCTCTTGTATCTCTTGCCTGAGCGCAGTGGCCTGAAACGGAGATTAATTCGTTCAATCCGCTTTCTAGTTTCATATTCACTTTCAGAAATCTTACATTACATATTTCCGGTCGCATTCACGGATCTTCTATCCACAGACTTCATTTAATTATATCATTGTTGAAATTGTGAATAATTTAAACTGACAGGTAAAGAGAAAAAGGTTATCTTTACCGAAAAAGAAACACTTGCGCTTCGATGGCATACCGATGGTTAACTCGTACACGTTACAACGTACCTACCTATACTTCTTTATTTTATATTGTTTTGGGAGACGTTTATATTCCTTTTCAGTTTTGCTGCTGCGATTCTCAAACTCCACGAGCCGATTCCTATCCACTGTTTTTCTGTACAGTAGCAGATTATTTCGTTTGAAACGGTTTTGGATCATTGATATCCAAACATCTGTGCCTCGAGCGAGATGTTTTTTTATAAATGTTTTAAAGTTATATTTTTTTATTCATTGCAAGCATGAAGTCTTGATCTATATAAAAATATAATTTCGTTCAAAATTGCGAAAAAAATGTTTCACCCCAGATGGGACTCGAACCCACAATCCCTGGCTTAGGAGGCCAGTGCCTTATCCATTAGGCCACTGGGGCTCATACATGGAATAGTATCCATTTTATTCATTTTAAATTTCAAACTGTTTAATTCGTCTTTTTTTATATTGATGTGTTTTTCTTATACAAATAGAGCACTATAAGCTTTCCTTAAAACCACTCGGACGTATCCAGGAAATCAATGGTAAAACTATCACCAGCCCAGGTGACGAGGAATCTCCCGGATTGTCTTTACGTTTAAACAAAGAGTTCGACATTACGTATAATTTTTTTTTTGGAGTAACAAAGCTAAGTAGGGAAAAGATTATTTCTAGTTTACCTATATGTTTAATGAATTAAGATATTTTTTGAGGGGAAAAAAAACGACCACGAAGGGACTCGAACCCTCAATCTTCTGATCCGAAGTCAGACGCCTTATCCATTAGGCCACGCGGTCACACGGTACAAGCCTCTTTTTCTTGATAGTTAAACCTGCCCCATCCCACAGTCCCGTTTATTTTCCGGGAACGAAGCGGGGAAAAACGTCAATACTTAAAAATATTTTTGTGTAGGAGAAAAAGCTCTAAATAAAAAGGGATTCGCTTTGTAGGGAAGGATTCATAACAAAACAGCTAGCAGAGGATGGTTTCGATCCATCGACCTCTGGGTTATGGGCCCAGCACGCTTCCGCTGCGCCACTCTGCTCACATAACTTCTCTCTCAATCCGCTGTATTTACCACTACACGTACAGTCTCGGAATACAGTCTTTCCGTTTTTACCAATTCCACGTAATTAAACAGATCAGCAAAAATAACCGCAATTCATTGATTTAAATCTTTTTGCAAACCAATCCCAAGCTACTGTTTCCCGTGCTCTCCTGATGAAGCTCGGGTGTGTAGGAAAAGCAATTCGGCGCCAGCGATTCTGCTATTAAAACATCCAGTTTTCATAAGGTTGCATTTTATTCACTTTGCAAGTTTGTTTAACTCATTCTGCGACTTAAAAATCAGTTTCTTATTTTGACTTGGAGAAAACTCAAGATAATATAAGAAAAATGTACTTTCCTTTTAATACAAGACCTAATAAAATACAATACTTTTATAAACTGTTAGAAACGTAATCTGAAAAGTACAGTAGATGATACATGCTCTAAATTAATATTTATTACAAAGTCGATCAAATTTATAAAAATTCGTCGAGAAATAATAGGAATTCTCGTCGTTCGTTTTTTTTTTAATTTAACAGAAATTTACTTACAACGTTCCAGTTTTCTTCGTGACTCCATTTCAGTTGTGAAAAATTCCAACGTTATTTCGTTCGCATTTTCTTGTGTGTGTTTTGTGCTTGTGTTTGTTATTTTTTTCGTTTGCATGTTGTACTTGAGCTACCTAGAAAAGCGGTAAATGCTACAAGGAAAAGAAGTCTACCCGTATAGTGAGCACCTGAAATTATACACAGCTGAAATTATACACAGCTGTAGTGCATTAAACTCGGATCACTGCAATTTCTGATCGAATGTAAGCATGCAGAAACATGCGGGATTTTCCGTGCCAGTATGGAAATGGTCCTAGACAAAACTAATCTGTGTTTGACCTTAACGGCTTCTTATTGATGAATGAATACACCGTACTTCTCTAATAGAACATAAGAGAAACTCTTTCAGTTTACATAAGAGTGTTTGAAGAATTTGTAAACTGCAATTTATAGTGGGCATTTTCAAATGGGAAAGACCCATTGATAAATGTCATCTTTGCATAAATGGCCATGTCATGTTGTTATATCAAGTTCAGAAACCAGACCCCACTGCTGATTCCTTCTTTTCCTTGTCTGGGATTTACATAAAAAACATTGTAAAAGAGGTTTGCTTGGAAATGCTTTAATATGGCAGAGACAGAAGACAGTGGGTTAAATACAGACATTTAAATTATTACACTATGGGACAGCATTAAACTGGTGAGAGCTAACTTAAATACAACAAGCTTATTTACAGATTTGAAGAAAGTTTTCAACATAATTATATGGCACCATTTAAGAATGTTTTTCAACATGTAGGACACAGCAAGACAATAATAAAATTCAAACTTTCATAAGTCATCACATTAAGATTTTCTAACCAATTCTCCTTGTAGGTGTTAGTAAAGGATGTGGGAAAATGCTTTTGGAATAAGAACACTCATATACACAGGGAAGCATTTTGTTAATTCTGTGAGTCCAACAGTATGGAAATGCTCAAATTAATACAATACATGAGACATTAGGAAGCATTTCTAAGTGCAATTTTGAAGACTCCTAAACATTGCTATATCCTGAAGTATACCGTTTCAAACAAAATTGTTCCTTATTAAGGCAGTGGGGAAACAGCTCCACTACACAATTTGGCAACTTTTCCAATGTCTCCCTTTATGTCTGCGTCTGTAACCTCTAAATGACGCTCCCAATTCCATTCTCAAACAGTGAAGTTACCCTGAGAGAACCCAGACCGACAATGGATAAGGATGAGGCCTTATTTCTGCCGTGTTGTTCTGTGCACACAGCCATTGAGCTGCAGCCTGGGTTAGGTCTTAAGCTTTGGTTAAAGACCCTGCAGATTGTGACTGAGACCTAGCAGGTCAGTAGCAGCGTGCTTTACACTGCAGCTGCTAAAAGTACATAAGCACCCTTTTGTTCTTCTCATCTATAAGCAATTTGAGTTCCACTGCTACTGCTTGGAAAGCTTTCACATTGTGTGGTACACAATGATTTTCATTTTACCCTGGTTTAAAATTGGGCTCATTCCCCACTTTTGTACAAGGGCTCTGAAAATGTTGCCCTGACTAAGGCACCAGTCTAGAGCAACTACCTCAAGGCAGTGACCAGAGTTTGGGTTTTACTGTGGCGAGACTCAGGGTTCCATTTTAAACTCATTGTGACATTAGAATATGTTCATTTAAATGGCAAAAGGCTGTGTATTTTATTTTCAAGGGGAAAAAAAGGAATCAGACAATAACTGAATGACAACAGTAACTCAACAGCAACCTCCTTTACTTTTTCCATCATCTTAAAAATCCCTTCCAATTTTAAATGAGCTGGGCTCCAGCATACGGAGGGTGGAATATTGTTACTATTGGGAAAAGGTCCTTGGACCTCGGTCCTTGTATAGCTTTTCACTAGGAGCAAGAGCAGTGTGTTTGATCCAAAACAGACCAAGGAAAAAGGACTGTGGACAGGGATTTATTAAAGCATCAATCATGTGCATCTGCCTTCCATGACAAGTTGGGAGTATTAATAAAGAACTCAGAAGACATGTTTTGCAGCTGGTCTATATTTAGCTGGAGAACAAACTTGTCTCAGCACTTCGATTGGCATTTACAATACTGCAGCATTGCTTCACCAACTTTCAAATATGATCACAAATCCCCAAGGTATATAAACGCATCCAGAAGACAAAAGGGTCCCGAACATAGGACATTAACCGATATGAGATGTATTGATAAGATTTTGCTCATCAGGTCTACATGTTATCAATGCGACATCACCATGTTTGATCTGGTATAGAATTACTTAATCTGGTTTTGAAATTATATCTAACATCTAATTTCTGACTCAGTTGTTCTGAACTGGCTTGGTAATGGATTTGACACTTGCATATAGGCCTTGCTCTGTTTAGTCCTACAACGCGGCTTTGATATGTACAGTATTCAGTAAATGTATGGCAATGTAACTAGTGCATAGAAAGATGCTAGGCAATAGAGCTTGCTTGCACAGAAGGATTCGCAGTCACACTTTCTTGCCCAATCCCAAGCGCAAGAGGAACACTGTTTTGGCAGGAGTTTTTTAAACCTGTTAGGTGCCAGCATCAGCAAGGCTCAGTATAAACAGCAATGTTGAAACAAATCACAGTTTCCATGGCTTAACAGTGAAAGGCTAGCTCTGTAAGGCAGAGCCTATATATTTTTTTTACAATAGAATAAATATGGTATCAAAAAAGTTCCATCAGGCTTAACTGGGGCCATCTACTGTATTAGCAAATGTAAGCTTCTGTTGATAGAGCATCTCCAGAGGTCTGCAAGTGAATTCGACTGAGTCACTGCAAGTCCTTTATAACACTAAATAAAATCCAACTGTGTTCTCTGTACTGCTGGATCTCTTGCATTATCATTAGCTCCAACCCATGGAGCTGCCTTTCAGCAATATGAACTCAGCAAAACTCCTAGAAATGTGGCCATGTTCACTGTGGGAACTGGATCTTGAGAGTGGGGCTGCAGTTGTGTTATTGCTTTCATGACTCTTTCAAGGATTGTCACTCCCATTCCTGGAGCAAAACATCTCCAAACTGATATTCCCACAGAGCTGAGATTCATCCAAGTGCTTCAAATCATACAGAACTACTTAACAGGTAATGAATTCAGTTTATTAGGCAATTTTGTAACTTATTAATAGTTCCAGTAGCTCCTGAAAGCAGGGAAGTTGACATCCACAGTCGAGTGTTATGGTAAACTGCTTCATGCATCCCCCTCTCTCCGTGAATTCAGCGGGAAAGTCAGAAACAGCTCCAATTCTGAAGTGCTGCAGTGCAGGGAGCTATTCTGTGCAGCAGGAGGCCAGATTCTTACTAGTGCAAGTCCCAGAGAGATGGCAGAATATACCACCAGCAAGAAAAGACAACTTGTCACAAAAGTGAAGAACATGACATTTCCTAATCTCAGTTCATGGCACATTCTAAACCTTCCCAGTTTTGTTCCAGCCCAATTGGAGCTTTCATTGAATCATCTGGTTAATGAGACCTTTATATAACTGTTTTCACCAATAAAAATCGGATACGTTTAACTAACTCTACAATTGGTGGATTTAAATATTTCCTTTTCTTAGTTATATTGGTACAATAACCAAATGTCTAGAATTGATACAGATAAGTTCTTACATAATAAAGATGGCTTATTAAAGATGTGTGATTCCCAACTGTCTGTAGGTCATTAAGAGGTACCCTTTTAAGGCAGCTATAGGGGTGTAACTATTTCCTGAAAATGTATTAATGACAGATAGAATTCTGCATGTTATAAGTAATAGCAGCTATACCTTATAAGTAATTGTTATAAGTAATAGCAGTATATCTGAAACCAGGAACTGAGCCGTGAAAATAGCTTCTGAAATATCTCATTGAGATAGTTTGGTACAATGTTCGAATACCACATGCAATAAAGATCTTAGCTGCCACCAAAGCTAGGAGACTCAGGGCACAGACCAGGCCTGGATCATGCTGGTGTAACAGGCTTTCTCCAAGAAGTAGCAAAAAGAGCAAGAAAGTGTGGAATGTTGAAACTGGTCTGGCAACAAAAATAATGATACACCCATCTTACTGCAGTGCGACTTAAATTGGATAAGCCTCCTTATCTGAACTGTTCACATTCTGAACCCCTCACAGGCCCTCAGGTTCTTAAGAAGAGTGAACAAAAGAAAACGTTTTCCACATCTGTCTCTGATGTTGTGATTGACCGGCTTAAACATGCCAATCTGTACTAACACTAAACTTTCACACTAAAATTAACAAAAGGAAATATCATACTGGACTAGTGTTCTGAAAATTTTGTAGCTGTGCACTGAAATTAAAAAGAGTATAATAAGCAAGATGTGAAATGTTTCAGTATCCTGCTAATAGATATATAGAGTATAGTAAAATACTTAACTGATAAATACTTTAAGAAGCTGCCCTCTTAAATTACTGAAGCTACCCTTCCCTGGCCTACATGAAAGTTATTGGCGATTTATAAGTGGTATTGTAGCTAAAGCAACAGAGTCAGTTGTACTACCCTATTCAAGTAGCAAATACGTATAGCTACAGTTGCCTAAAGCTAGGAAGCTCACTTAAAGCTATGCAAATTTAGCTACATCAAGATACAGATACAACCTTAATTGTGCAGGAGAAGGGTGGGAGTTAAAATTGCAGAGTTGAAAGAAATGATAACAGTAGAATAGGAAGTAAGCCTAGTCCAAGACTGAACAATACAAGTTAAAGAGGTAGCTCTAATTCTCAGCACATTCCTTGACATCACTTTGTTTCTCCCCATTCTGAAAGTAACTTCCACATGCGACTGAAAGGAATTCGGCAGGGTGCTACAATCTGCCCCACCCAGCCTTTTGCTCTAAACTTGGGGTAGCCAACCCTGGTCCTGGTGAGCCTCAATCCAGTTAGCTTTATAAGCTTCTCAATGGAAAGGCTCACATTCATTACTTGCAGGTTTGTTTGGAATTTAACAGTATTAGAATGTTTTTTGCAGTGCACATGCTGAGTGGTTTAGGAAATGTGTAAATGTGTTCTTAGGAAGAACTACAACTGAGCTGCAGTACAAGAGAGATGACAGTCAAATGCCTAGCGAACAGAGCCAGTGAACAGGTCGGAGTGAAAGTGACCTTTAGAATTGTACAGAAATCTCTCAGTAGTGCTGATGGCTGTATACAGTTCTTGAGACTGATACTGTAAGTATTTAAGTCATTCAGACATAATTGAACCAGAAAATAACATGCATATAGACAGAAAAAGCCAAATTACCCTTAATTAACCTTTGTTCCAAAGTTTTAGAAGAAGAGTCTGATGCCCAAATCTTCTAGAAACCCCTGAGAAATTTCCTGAAGATACATTTTGTTTTCCTTAAAAATAAAAAAAATCCAAATGGCTGCTTAGTGAGCAGAGCACACAATGCTGTATGATTAGTACCCACGACATCTGCAGGAGGCGAAAAGAATGCTTTCACAATGCAAGGCCTGCGATTACCCACCACTCAGTCACTGCTGCCCTGAAGACGGGTGCTTGTTACCAGACTCATTTACAACACTCCCCTTCCCCACTCTGTAGGCATCTGCAATCAGCTCGTCGCAAACAAACTTTCAGGTTCCCGACTCAGCATTGGACTGAGGCAGACAAAGCAATTAATGCATATTGCAATTAAATCAATAAATGTCACGGATGGGCTGCTGTCTAACAGAGTGAACTAAACTAAAGCATTCTACGACAGTAGGTCCTGTCAGTCCCCTCACATCTTGGTCAGCAGTCCTCCATGTGGTTCAGCCTGGCCGGTTTTCACTTGCTGGTCTTTCCGGCTTTGGTGGAGTTGATATCCGTTTTGGTTTTCTGGATGCGGGAGAAGATCTCCTTGAAGAGCGCCTTGTACTCGGGGGTGTTCTGACCCAGGCGCTTGTCCACCGCTTCCACTTGCTTGCTGATGCTCTCCACAGTCTCGGGGTGTGGGGGCCCCGCGCTGTCCGGGGGACGGCAGTCCTTCATGGACGGGTCCCGGGAGACGGGGCGGGAGGTCTGCACGCCGGCGTGGCGGAGGCTCTCCTCGTGGCGCCGGCACTTGCCCAGCAGCTCCTCGTACTTCTCCAGCAGGGCGTGGTACTGCTCGTCCACCTCCCGCAGGATGGACATGCCTCTCTTGCGCACGCTGTTGGCGTGGAGGGCATAGCTGCCCTGCTGGCGCCCACAGGAGTCCTTGGCCACAATGGCGTTGAGGGCCGTGTCACTGCAGCTCTTCCGTACGGGGCTGGAGGAGGGCAGGCCCCGGCTCCGACTCGCCTCCTCCGCCAGGGGCTCTTCCAGAGTGTCGCTCTCGGGGGCGCTGTTGAGCAGGGTCTGGGCCAGGCCGTCCTCTCCGCTCAGCACGTAGGTCTTGGTCTGCCTCATCTGCTGCAGCTCGCGCAGCTCCGTCTCCAGCTCGCGGATGCGCAGCTGGCACCCCTCCGCGCTGCGCAGCCGGCGCTCCAGCTGCGTGTACTCCTGCAGGACGGCGGTGCACTCCCGCTCGGCGCCCTCCTTCCGCTGCCGCTCCTGCTGCACCTGCGAGCGCAGAGACGCCACCGTCTCCCGCAGCCGCTCGTTCTCCTGCTCCAGCGGCTTGGCCTCCAGTTCCGATGCCGAGCTGCGGATCACAAAGCCATCCTCGTACCTGGGGGCGGGAGGGACAGAGTCAGAGGTCGGCTGGGCGGGAGGATTTTGCACAGAAGGGAAGACAAAACCTCAGATTGGCTGATGGGCCTGCTGAGCAGGGGGTCAAATGGGGGTGAAGGATGGATCAGGTATAGAAGGGTGAATTTAAGAATGATCTGGGCTGAGACAGGGCAATGATCTGCAAATCTTCTCTTAAAAGGCCACTGTGCAGCTGACGCTGAATTTCTTCCTGTTTCACACCAGTCAAACTCAATTTAACAAACTAAGAGCTTCGGTGGCATGAAAAACAGAGCTACTTGTGGGCCTCAGGAATATGATGGGAAGAAGGCTGGAAAACAGAATTGAAAATTCTGTTGTCTGGATGCCGTTTTAGAGCACGCAAATGAAATTAATTAAGGAGCAGCAAGTTGCATCGTTTGTGCAGGGTGTCAGATGTCGGCAGTAAAAACAGAGCAAAGAGGCCAGAATGTGCTGTGGGGGGTGTAGCCTTGCTTGAGGAGGAAGATGTATCTGGTGTCACATATGAAGAGTGACAGAAAACGTGATAGAGGGGATGTTAATGGCTAAGCATTGTGGTGCGTAAGCTGGGTAGACCCACAGCAGAAGGCGGTTTTAGAGAGGGCAGGACTACCTGGGAGCAGAGCAGAGCTCCTTGAGGCAGGGGAAGGAGTGAATGGTTTTGCGTCTTTCCCTCTTCTCTCTGCGGACTCTCAGCTGCTCCAGTGAGCGCATCTCCTCCACCTGAATCTGCAAAGCATCGACCTGGGCCTGCAGGGTGTCGATGGTCCCTGTTAGGCTGCAGGAGAAGAAAGACACAGAGGAAATATATCAGACAGATGCTCACTTTCTTCTGTAAAACACCACCAGGAAAACTAGAGGTTACGTTTTTTTTTTTTTAATTCTGTGAACGTATGCAGACAGATGTGTAAAATACACACAAAAATAAGTAAAATACAATATTTAAAAAAATAATAAAATAAAAATACACATATTTATACATTTTGTGTACAGCAGTGAGAAGCTTGTAAAAACAAATTGATCAAACTGATTCCAATGATCTACCTTGCCAAGAAGACATTTGACAGAAACCCATTATCTACTACATAAGCTGAGCATGGAATTTGGTTTTCTCAGTCCAGACGCAGAGTGAACCATACAAACTGAACTAGCAATATTTGCTGAACCAGGAAGGGGCATATGAACAAATAAACTGAGCCATTTTAAAAATGTTGAGGTCATTTTACACTCTCCTTCTAATGAACAACATGGTGTAATCTTTGCAATTATTTATACAATTCATTTCTGAATAGGGCTACATAATGACTTGTATGTAGAACAATGGAACAGTATTTTCTTAAATTTATAAAGTCAGGATTGCTCCCTGATGCTGTTTATTCCAATATCCCCAAAAATTCAAAGGTGAAAAGACACCCACAGGAGATGTCGAGGAATCTCTGACCAAGTTCAAAATGTCGTGCTGCTTGACTGAATGGGTGAGGATTCCTGATCATAGCCAAAAGTGCTGATGACACAGCTCAAATTCCAGCAAATGACTTGTAGACCACAAGATCCAACCTGCACTGATTGAAGACCACAAATCAGTTGAGCCTCTCAGGATTCCTCCAAGCCATTTCCCTGCAGACTGGAAGGCGAGAGCTCTTTACCGTTCTATCTTCTGCTGTGAAGCCTTGCTCTCCAGCACAAGCCTCTGGTTGGTGAGCTCCAGGTCTCTGGCCGTCACATCCAGCTGCTCATAGACCTTGGCGTGCTGTTCATTCATCTCCCGCAGCATCTCTAGTTGCTTGGAGAGGTACTGTGGGCACAACACAGAGTAAACCATAATTTCCAGCCTTCATAAATCCAATAGGCACTCAATAGGCTTCTGATTGCCTGTTGCCTCTTCTCTGCACCCAATGAAAAGTTTCCATCAGGTGGATTGAAGTTTCTGATTCGAGGCCTTAATTTGGGAAACAGCACATAAAAGAGGATGTAAAATCAGAAAAGAGTACTATGTGACTATTGTTTTTTTTGTTTGGGAGAACCATGAACTATATTTCTAATCTCCAAATACACATAGAAGTTCTAGTTTACTAACCCAGTACCTCATTTTGGGTGTTATGCAGTCTGTCTTTTCTTACTTGTTTTCTTCTATTTAAATAACCTTCTGTTACATACATGAACTTATGTTAGGCCATGAAAGCTCATCGCAGCTCATGAAAAGCTGACACTGTCATTAAAGTTGCCAAGAGCATTTACTGCCACCCACAGAGACACCTTCCATTTGCTCCGTGTCAGGTCTGTGCATTCATTTCCAAACGCACTGTGCCATTTAATTGCTCAAATGAAACACAGAGGGGATCAGGTCACACAGGACATAGGTGAGCAGAACATTAACGCAATCTCTGTTAATAATACAGGAACACCCTGGAGCACAACAATGACCCATTTAATTCTGTTCTCAGATCCAGCTCTGCTCTAATTCATGGGCCTGCTCTGGGGATCAGCCCTCCATCTGCAATGCTGTGACAATCTGGCAACTGGTAAAGCTTGGTTAAGCTATGCAGTACTATTATAGGATTCACAAGAAGATCTGCTAATTCAACATTAATGTCCTTGCTGATCAACAGACATGTCTGTATCTGGAATTCACTGTAAATTCTAAAATTAGGCAGCCTTTTCAAAGTATTGCATAATTAGAAGTGCACCACATATTTCAGGGAAATTTGTCACAGATACATATGGGCCCAAGGGGAGCACAGTACTATGGACTCTGAGTTGTGCTGGCAATTTAATGCAGTAAACCCTCAGTTTAACAGACTAATGGGGGAAGAGTTGTTCAGCACTGTCGAACGTCTTTTAAATCACTAGTGATATCTACAGTATTCAGCCCCAAAACACACTATTATAGGAGAAAGAGTAGATATGCTAAATATGCTTCCTGGATCATTATTTAACAAATGCCATCAACACAGTCAATGAAAACTGTTCCTGTGCCTTATCATAAGTATTCAAGCTTTCTATTTCATGCATCGGAAATATACTGTATGAAATTCGCTAAAGCATACGAAACACAAACAATGGATCTCCCCAGTAGTATTATTTTTTACCTTGTTTTATTATTTGTGCATTTTAGAGCTTTTTTATATAGTTAGCATTTTAGTGTCTTTTTTTAAATGGTCTTTTTAAGTACTTGCATTAGATATGAAACGCAAAGAGCACTCATAGTAAGCAATTCGCGATTGCAGGGAAACTCCAATATTTCTGATTTTACCCACAAAAGCCCTCCTTAGCAGATTTTTCTCTCTTAAATCTGAAGTCCATTAAACCAAGGGTTTATATACCTCAGTAACATGGTCTCATCTGCCTGTGTGCCAAATGACAATGCCCCACTGTATAAGTTTCACAATCCAGCTATGTGAACAGGTTAACTAACCTATTGGGCATGGGTCTACCCCGATAACCCTTTCATCCTGAATGTACATTTCACTCTGCCTGAATATTTAGAAAAAAAAGAGGTCTTTGGTGGTAGAGTGCTAATCTCAAGTAATTGTAGGTCAGGGTACAGTGAAAGAAGCAAAGCAACGACCAGAAAAAGAGCTTTACAATAATGACCATATCTGCATTGGGCCAACAAACCATAGACAAGGGACATGAAATCCTCCCCACTGCTTGCAGTCCCCCATTCTCTAATGTACAGGATAGTTAGAAACTTACTGTGAAAATGCTGCAACAGAAGTAAACAACAGAGCTGTTTCAAGCAATCATAAATTATAATTGGCCCACGAACACTTGATTTTGTTTTTCTGATGGCCAAAGTTAAATAATATACTGTGCTCAAATGGGAACCAGTAGTCCCACAACTCTATCGGCTGCACAGCACAAGAAGACCAGTTCTCCTTACCCAGAGTTTAGTGCCTTACGTGATCTTACTGGTCCTGAAGATGCTCTATTAAGGGTGCCCAGGATCTCAAGGTTTGTGGAATGCAGCAGATTTGACTAAATCTCCCTGAGCATGGGTCAAGCTAATCCACTAAACACTACGACACAGCAGCCCTTTCCTGCCATGATGAGGTGGCGCGTTAGCAATTCTGTCCCCGAGCGAGAGGGACCGCAGAAAAATGGCTCACAAAGCTGCAGCTGCAGATGGAGAGCACATTCTCCAGTCTCTCCCCATACAGCCCGTTTGTCACTCTCCGAGATGGCAGGGCAGCACACAATGACAGCACTGCAGCTACAGCAAAGGTGCCCTTGGAATTATCTCTACCCTGGCCTTAATCTGACGGCTAAGGTGCACCACGTGAAGAACACCTCTTTCATACCCTTTCAAGGCCATAATTCAATAATCACTTCACAACCAATTACTGCATTTTGGTTTCTGCTGCCTTCAAGCTCTGATCAATTCCAGAATACATCCTAATATGCTTAAGTGCTGCATGCAGTATGTTCTATCCTGTGATCTTTCCCTAAAGACACAAAGCAGCACCTCAGAAATAAAGAATAGATATTGTGCAAAATAGGTAATGTGCAATGTAACTTTGTGTGTTTTCCCCGCAATGTTGTAGTTGGCGTTTCACAATAATTATGGAATGGATTGGTTCTATTCTTAAACTAATTCAGTACTGAAGCTGGCTCCTGCGGTAGGATTATTAAATTAGGCACTGAGATGACATCACACCACAGTCTGAAAAGACAGGAGAGCAAGTCTAGTCCACTGTGAAAACACTGTTACAAACACCCACCACCTCTGGTAAAGGTCAAGCCCCAACAGAGCTGGTTGCACTGTGTCAGAAAGCAGTTTTAATTTGAAAGTGGTAGCTGTTTCCTGTTCCCGAGAGACGCGGCGCACCTGTGACTCCATACCTCGATCTCCTGCACCTGTTCTTCGTTGGTGAGGTACATCTGCTGCAGGGAGTCCTCCAGCTCCTTGTTGCGTTCCAGCAGAGTCTTCCCCAGCTCCGCGGCCAGGTGCAGATCTGAGACGGGGACAGCATGTGTTACACAACCCCACCATGAGATCCGAACGCAAAACTAACACACCTTGGGGCTTCTCTTGGTAGCAGAAGATTTTTTAAGAACAGGACTGTAGTGCATGTCTTCACACACAACTTTCAGTATTTCCCACAGGAAAATGAGGTCATTATACTGTACTTCTGTCTGTAATTTATGATAGAATGACATAAACACACAACTAAAAACAGTGCAATACTAAACAGAGAAGTTCAATTAAAGAGCAAGATGTTATACATTAATTTAAGCGAACCAGAAAGTTACAAAGTGAAGAATATTAAGTTCTCCAAAGGCAAACACAAAGTCATGCCAATAGATTTCTTCAGAATTAACAGTAAGACATGACTCATTACGATATCCTTCTTCCAAGGATTTGACTTCAATACTGGGAAAGTACAATATTACAGATCCACTGAACTGAAGATTTTGCCTTTGAGTAAAATTGAAATCAGTATCCAGAAAACTCTCTAAAACGATGATTAAGCACAGGGACCTTTGTTAACATAAGCTGTGGCACACCCATCACATCACTCTGAGACAGCACTCTTAGTCACACTGTCACCTTCTGTTTTGAATCTTTCCTTGTATGTGATTAATAAAGACAGATGCTGCCGTCTTCAATTTACAGGTCTTGATAATTTTCTCTAAGGAACAACAAGGGCAATTGGAATTAAAACTGTCTCACAAACCAAGGGAGCCATAGCTGTTTCAAATGTTAGGGTTCCTGCTACTAAGTATGTAAATGCTGGAATCAGGCAGCTTTAAAGGTTATTTTAAAGATTGTCAGTTAAAGAAGCAGATTAACTGAAAACCAACTTGAAAGAGCTTTGTTTTCAGGACAGAATGTCACACAAATGGAATTCATATACTGCACACAGTACAACCTAAAATCCATATCCTGCATAGCTGCAATCCAGATCTTTTCATATCGATTATTTAATTTGATAAAATCGATGAAGTTTTTTCACCCTACCTTAAATATTTCATTACCATTAGATAACCATTATCTTTATCATTAGCTTGTATCTCTTTGCTGTAAACACAGGCAAAATCGCTTTTAATACATGTTTTTGTCTAAACTTTGCTGCTGTGTACCCTTTGACAGTAATACAACATATCATAGCTTTCCAGTGGATACATCCTAAAACGGAAATGGCTGCAAGCTCCTATTTAATAATCTAACAGTGGTCAACAAAAGACTGTTAAAATATGGGTGCAATCACTGCTTGAGTGCCCCCTAGTTATCCTTTAAATAAATACTTTACTAATGAAAAAGGGCTGCTGCACAATACCCTAAATTAAAACCGACAGCTCAGGCACTCAAGGGAGAGGCAAGTGTTATTTAGAAAACAGGCTTTTCCTCCTGGGACACCAGATCTATACTTCGGCCATGTGCTCAGGAGCTCTGATGGGCTACACACACAAGAACCCTACACCTTCCACAGCACTGACCCCCTGATTTGAGAGCAGGACAGATGGGTTGCAGAGTAAAAGGTAAATCAGGTTTTACAAACACAAGGCAAAAAAGCACTCCCTGCAAATAAATCAATATATGTCAGAATTTTACACACAATTAGTGGATACAGCACAAACAGGTATTTAATATTGGCAGAGACTAATCTGTTTATTTTTCTTTAATTAATCTACTTCCTAACGAGTATGGATTAGGCCCCGCTAGGTGCTTTGAAGTGTGCTTTGCAAGCTCTCTCTCTGGATGACAAGGTAATTAATCCCAGCCTCACAGAGCACTGCCCTGCAGAGATCACAGTCCCACAGCTGATAACACTCTTTCCCTGCCTGAGCCCATGAATAGCCAAGGAGAATAGGCATCTCACCTTTGGTTTACAGGCCTACAGTACCAGCAGTGAAAGTGAATTACTTAAACCAGTGAGCAGAAATGATATATCACCTCTTGTCTTTGAAATAAATTGAATGCTTTCAAATCCCAAGTACTTCAGATTTTCTTCCAACTTCTTCTTTGCAAGGAATATAAAAAGGGAAGGATATGATACCATGTATATTTTATTATCACAACCACCTAAAATAGTCTCCGTTTTCTAAGGCATCGAGAGAATTTGTCTGGCATAGTGTTGTCAATCATCAGTTTATAAAAACATGCACCATTTTGTAAGCAACTAGTGCAAGTTAACTGCGTGAAGTGTGTATGCTCTCCATGTGGGTTTCCTCAAGGAGTCCAAAGACGTGCTGGTAGGTTAATTGGCTTCTGGGAAAACTGTCGCATGTGTGAGAGCATTTGTGTCTGCGTGTCTGCCCTTCGATGGACTGGCATCCAACCCAGGGTGTAGCTCAACTTGCATCCACTGACTTCCAAAACAGGCTCTGACTCCCCTGTAACACTGAATTGGAAGGAACATTTGAAAATGGAGGGATGGATAGCTCATTTAAGGCCTATCAGGTTGCAGAGTTACTTGCAATTGAAACGGTCTAAAAGATCGGGAGCACTGATCTTACAGGGGCGTCTCCTAAAAACAGCTAGACTGCAGCTTTTCAGAACCTAAGCTGCCACCCCTGGTCTGAGCTAGAGAAAGGCACCGAAGGACAACTCACTTCTCTTCAGTCCTTCATTTGAAACAAAACAGGCAGGTAGAACAAGCCGATTATGGTTAATTAATGAGACGCACAACCTGAAAGAGGTTAGTGCCGTTCTTGCATTGAATTTGAAGTCCGTGCCTTGCTAATTCACAGCGGAGCTGAACTGGAAGAGCCTTGGCGCAAGTCAGTGATGCGCAAGACAAAGCCAGTGCCAGCGAGAGCAGCCCTCGTGTCCGCCGTTTACCTGTGAAGCATGACTAACAGGCCTGCCACGTTTCACATCTCTGCATCACTGCCGAGCACGCAACTGGTCTAAGCGAGTTCGCTCATTACATAAGGCTTCTGCATAATACAAAAGCCTAAACTGGGACTGCTTTGTGATGCTCGGGCCCTGGGAAAAAAGAATAAGATAAGCACAGCTAGCTAGTTTGATAAGAAAAAGGCATTGTTCAAAGACCGGGGATGCACACCAAGGACTGCACTAGGCCATGGCCTTCACAAGTAAACGAGTATCCAATTATCTTTCAATTATACTCTTATTCTCAAATACAAAACTGCTGACTGTTCTTTAGCCCCAGTACCCATTTCATTTCTCATCTGTCCTTTAAGGATTAGAACACACATGTACAAAGCTCTTTTGATACAGATTCTCCTGTTGTGGACTCACAGTCATAGTCATTTTCTTATATAAATGAGAGCCGGGAAACAGGCGATCAATCACCTAGGAACCAATTGAATGGTTTCAATTTAAAATAATATATAAGGTAATCTTGTGCATGCTGTTTTCACACTACAATTACTTTTTGACAAAGATTAACTACAAGAGGCAGGCTGGCAGACTATAGGGCTATAGAGACTAGGAGTGCTTACTGCTGTGACCATCACTAATACCAAGATGGCTCTCCAACACCTCCCGTCTGAACAGGGGGCATGGGAGGAGTCAGGCAGAGAAACACACAGCCTCCACAGGTGCCTCCCAGCCAGTCAGAGGGATGCCTGTGACACCCCCATCCTGAACAGAGGAGCCTCAAATCCTGAAACAAGTGCCTGGCTCTGTGCATTTCATGGATGTGTTTGGCTTTGACACAGATAAAGACCAACATCAGTAAGGGTTTAGTCTATACACAGATCACTATCTAAGCGGATTAGAAACGCGAGCACGGAGTTTCAGATCAGAAAAAAAAGTACCTGCCTGTCTGTTGGAATGAAAGTGAACAGTCTGAACGTGAAACTCTTGCCCTGTGACGTAACACGCCGCAACTGACCTCACAGCAGGTCAGAGGTCACTGCACCCTTTGCATTTTCCTTTTCTAACCACGCATGCTTCATCTCGTACGCTGTTGAGCATGTCACGGACAGCACTTAGTCTGAAACAAGCATCTGGCTGTTTAATCCCATCACGTCACAGCTTAATTTCAGAGAAGTCAAATATTGAGAGAGTGCAGAAGCAAAACGGGATGATTTGGTTTCCATCTTCATGCAAACTTGCTAAACCAAAGTAGATCAGCTGTTGCAAACTGTTGTGAAGGCTGCTGGGCTGCCAGCAGTGAGCTCCGCACAGGATCGGCGCAGCACAACCTTAACCCCCCTGACGTGAAGGGACTGTTCTCTACTAGAATGAGAGAGGTACTCAGTCTTCATTACCCCAGAAGCCCCTTCTCTCACATACAGTCCTGCTGTGTTCTGGGCTTGCGGACTCCTGCAGTGTTGACTGCTGTCAGGAGGTGACTCCGTGAGCAGCCAGGTCGCGCACAGCAAAAGACTGTAGCAACTACATTGGCCAGACCCTGTCATCCAAATCCATGTATCGCACATACCCAGTTAAAATCAAATTTATCAGTGGTGTAAGAGGGGCTTCTGTTGGATTAGCATAAAAAAAAAAGTATCTGTGTGTAGGCTGCAACGGAACAAGTAAAGGTTTATTCCATGCTGAAAAGAGACAAAAAGAAAAGACATTTCAACTGTGGAGCCTTCTTCGGGTGTCATTGACATTGTTCCTATTTTCAGATGATCACTTTCACTTCACTGACATCTATAGACCGAATGGACATTAAATCGTTGGTAAAGGAGGAGCTTCTATTCCTGTACAAGTGAATCAATACAGACAATGCAGCAGAGTAGTTCGATCACCCTCATTTCTAATCAGTGCAATACTGTGACAAGAATAGACCATGCAGAACATATATAGAAATGTATATCCCAATACAGAATTGAATAATAAAGTCATTTTCAATTTATTTTTGGAATACATTGCATGAAACCTTACACATGGAAAGTCAATGCTTAGAAGGCTTCAATTTTAAGAATCTTAAAATTAAATTACAGCAACTCTTGTCAAGAATACGTTGTTTTCTACATTGATAATGACATTATTCTACTCATGTGTGGGAGTATACAGTACATTGTTTGATAT